AAATTATGTAATTAATTAAATTTTTACTTTATTATTATTTTATTATATTAAGTATTTGTTTAAATTAATTCTAACCTATTATATATAAAACTTTTGATATTATATTATATTAAGATAATAATATTATATTAAAAATAATTTATAAATAATTTAGTTAAAGAAAAAAACAATAAAATTTTGATTTTAAATATACTATCTAAATCTGTAAAACTAGTTTTTTTAAATTAAATTTTAAATAATTAAATTTTGAAATTATTGTTTAAATTTATAAAACCATATAACAATTGTTTAAAAATTAAATAAAATATATGAAAAATCTGGTATTTTTATATAATTATAATATTAATATTGTTAGAAATATCTTAATTAAAAAATTATTAAAATATTTTTATTATTATAAACAAGTTTAAACTGATTTTATTGTTATAAGATTAATTGATTGAATTTTGATTATTATTTGAAAAAATAAAATTAGTTTTGGTTTTTTATATTAAAAAATTTTTGTAATGACATAATATTGTATATAAGTAATAAAGTAAAAAAATAAATTTAATTGAAACAAATAAAAAATTTAATAACTTTGCTTATATATAATTTTAAAAATAAATTTGTAATAATAAAAGTTATTATAAAATAATATTAATAGATTTTAAAAAAAGAAATATATATAAAATCAAAATTATAAAAGAAAATTGTTATATTAATTTATTTTTATAATTATAAACATAGTTATTTAATATAATTATAATTTTTTGATTATATTTCTATATTAACTTTTATTATTTTTAATTTTTAATTTTTTAAATTTAAATAAATATTTATAACTATTCAATATTATTTAATAAAATATTTAAAATTTTAATTATATAATATAAATATAAATTTCTTTATTAAAACAAAAATAATTTACAATTTAAATATATTTTTTATAATTTTAATTAATTTTTTTTTTATAAATAATTTTAATAAATATTATTTTTTGAAAAAAAAATATAACAATAAATTATATTATATCTATAAAACAATAAATTATTTATATAAATAAAGTATACCTTTAAAACTAATATAAATATATTAATTATTTGAGATAATTTTAAAAATAATAAATAAAAAAATTTTAATAAAAATCTTAATTATTACAAGATATTTGATAAAAACAAATTGTAAAAATAATTTAACTGTTATAAAATGTTTTATTGTTTTAATAAAAATTATTAATTTTTATTTTTAAAAATATTTTGATTTATTATTATTTATAAGAAATACATTGTATATAACTTAATAAAATTATATTTTAATTATTTAAAAATATATATAGTTATTTAATAATATAAATATATTATATAAAATTAATTAAATGAAAAAGTTTTATTTAAAAAATAAAAAATCAAACAATTGTTTAAAAATAATTAATATTTTTGAAATATAATAATAAAATATTAAAAAAATTATAAATTAATTTTTTTGATATTAACTATACTATATGTATAGATTTTATTAATCATTATAGATTACATTTCTTATATATGAACAATTTAATAACTATTACTAATATTATAAATTAATCTTTTAATAAATTAAATTAAATTCTATAAAATTTTTTTAATTGAAAAATTAAAATTGATTTCTGATAATCTAATATTAACAATAGTTTATTAAAAATATCATTACATTCGAAACCTAATTTATATAACAAGATTATTATAAAATTTAAGTATAATAAATATAATTTAAATATAATAAATTAAGATATTATCAATAAAAATCAAAGTATTTGAAAGATTTAAAAATTGTAATTGATTTTTAACTTGCATAATTTATAATATAAAAAGAGTATAAAAAGATAATATAAAGAATTGATGAAACAATTATTATTTTATTCAATTCTTTTGTCAATTTGAATAATAGTTAATAAAATTAATTAAAAAATATTAATGAAAAAAAATTTTCAAGTTTTTTTTTTATATGGTACTTTACTAATTTTAAAATTTTTATAAAAAATCAAGTCAAGTTATTAAAAGTTCGTAGTTACCATTAATAAATTGTGGTACAGTATATTTAAACGGTTTTCAATTACAGCATATACTGTACATTTGAAATTTTATTCCACCGTATGTTACAGTACGATATGATATTAATATATACATGTAAAGCAAAGCGCACAGATAGAACACGCCGTAAATAGAGTAATAATTAATTAATTAAATTTAATTGAGTGAATAATGTATATACAGTATTATAAACTGCTCAAGAGTTTTTTTAATGAGAACATTGGTCACACGCTTCACCTTTCTACAGTAAAATTTGCTAATGACACAAAATACAAAATCAAATGGTGGTCGGGAAAGTCCACCGAAAAAAAATAGCGCGAGAGAATTAAACGAGTAGCGTGTGGCTGTGCAGACATGTGATTCCACGATCATACACTGCGGCTGTTGCTTGGACACGGTTATCGGTTATCGGTTATCGGGTTGAATGTTTGGAGTGTTCACGCCGTAAATGCATGCGCGCACTGACCAACCACAAAACATAACATCTCGGGCCAGCTGCCATTGTGGACAAGACACCTTCTTCTCTCGTAAACATTGAATATTCTCGAGCAAGGAAGTAAGCAAGCAGGCGAACGAATTACCATGCTTTCTCTGTCTATGCATGGTCAGGTCGTCATACGAACTTACGTAAACCACGAAGAATTCGAGTGGTTACTTCGCAGATTGATCACCGATCCTATAATTCGAAGTTTATTTATTTTCTTTCTCTTTTCTCTTTTACACTAAATCACGGAATTTCTTCGCACCAGTCAAATTCTTGTGCCATTCCGAAGTTTGGATCCTGAAACTAATAGCTCGGACGTAATTCCAAAATCAACATTGCGATCAGGTGCATAGATATGCAAGTTATATGGGTGCATACACATATTAAGTTTGTTATGGTCGACCGAAGGGTGATCGGTATGTTTGTGCGAAGATCACTGGCCAACGAGATCCCGAGTGTTGCGAACAAAAAAAAAAAAATTTTTTTTTCTGATTGAATGTTCTTGTAACACCGTGCATCCATGCGTGACCAATTTTTATGCAGAGAACGTAAATAAAAAAACGCCAAGGCACTGACCATCCACATTTTATGCATCAAAGTTAAATTGAGGAACTTGCGCGGGAGATAAAGGGATTTACCTTCATGAAAATTCACACTTGTAAACAAATGGTAATTACGTTATGGTGTCACAAGAGATTATATAAGGATACGTAAGTGTGTGCGTCCACTTACATACTTTGCTTATTGCGCATCACCATATTTGTAAAATAACCAAACGATGTAAAAATATGGTATGTATAAAATCCAGGGTAAAGATTCTGAAAGGTGGGTTTCCTGTGCATCACTTGTTTCACATCTGGTGTATGAGATTTACTTGATGCGCACGTACACGCCCTATTAATCTCAACAAAGAAACAGATGCACCCCGGAGAACCTTAAAAGAAAAAAAAGGTTTTATCATCTTGTCGCACATTGGCCAGATCGAAGGACAAAGGTCTGTCTTGCGGTGCCAAATTCCTTGAGTCCTGTGTAGGATGTTCTAAAGGGCTTTGTTAGATTTACCGGGAATCGATGCACAAGAACGCACCGCAATTAATTGCTCTCGAGCCATGTCAGTGCGTGCGTGTTATTTGCGCATGCGGGTGACTCTACCACAAGGATCACTTTAAGGATTCTGTGATCAAATGTATGAAGCTTATTTATCTGATTTTATTTATTTATTTATTCATCTACTTTATCCCAATGAAAGTTTAAAATCTCCATTGAGAAAAAAAAAAACCCTCATTCAAATGTGATCGTCAATATATGACGCATTACGTTGTCAATGTTTATACTGTACTGTATTTCTTCGGGTGCACGCGTGCACGGTAATCTCACAGTATTTTCACATACACAAACTAACATCTTTTGGAAGTGGTGATCGACGCAAGACAAAAAAGAAAAGTCTCCGAAAAAAAGAAGCAAATCCCCGCTTCCCACGCGACTTTGCGGTGCGAAAATCAATGTTCTTCGAATCTTCATGTACCGTACCGGTTCACCGAAAGAGATGGTCACCCATATGGGGTTTAATTTGCACCACCATCCGGATTTAGTGTGAAAGCCGTGACATGCACAACTAATGTTCTACATATTACAAACGCATGCAGATGAAATTTCTAATTTCTTGCGCACAAACGAAATCCGCGTAATCGACATCGAATTCTTTCTTGAAAATTGTTCACACTATCACACTTTTATTATTTATTCGTTATATGTATATATATATATACTGTATATATATTATTAATTTTTTTTTTTTTTAAAAAAAAAAAAAAAAAAAAAGAAAAGAAAATACTAGGATACTACTACTTTTTTTTTTGAATGAAATCGCGAAAGTTGATTGAGATGAAATTTTTTTTTTTTTTTTTTTAATGATAAACGGTAGACCAACCTGCTAGAAAGTGGGGATCAATCGATAAAAATAAAATATCGAATGCATGTAAAGCTCGATTCATCCAAAATAATCACGTGAAATAAGATATATATATATATATTTTAAAAGAAAAAAAAAGAAAAAAAAAAAAAAAGAGAAAACCATATAAGATTAAAGTAAAAATGAGGTTGGCGAAGAAAAGACCCGGAAAGGTGCTACGCCACTTATCATATGCGTGATAAAAAATAGTGTGTGTTACAAATGGAGAACGGTTAGGAAAACTAATTACAAAAAAAACGTGAGCTAAGTAAGAGATGAAAGGGATTATTATAATAGGTGAAAAATGAGATGATGAAGAGAAGATAAAATAAAAAAAAGTAAGAAAAAAAACTTAGATATATATATTACAATCATGAGTAAGGCTTGTGATGTGATGATTTCAACAGTAAAAAAGATTTCCTAGATCCTGATCCCAAGAATTTTTTTTTTTTTTTTTTCTTTCCTGAAAAGCGAATCATAGCTACATATCGTATAAAAATGCGTTCGTTGTTAATCAACCCATTATGCTAACATAGTTTGTCATCTCAACATGATGATGACAGTAATGATTGTTGTTAATCATACTGGCGTCCACCCGACCACCGCTTCTCAGATGATGACGGTGATACTGTTGTGGAGATACCGACATCGAACGGTCGTCGTTGTTCACTTGATGAAGGGGCGGTGGCAGAGGGATAACCGGAGACATAATAGCCGATGGCGAAGCATGTGGTGTCAGGGTGCGAATAGGTGGTAACATGACACCTTGTGGCTCCTGGATCCCCGGTCGGACGGGTGGCAACAGGGGATTGGGTGGCAGAGAGCTTTTGTAGTCGGCAGAATAGGCCGAGGCTACGGCAGTGGCCACAGGAGAAGATGTTGACGTCGGTGATGGTGATGATGATGATAATGATGACGGTGATGATGATGACGATGGTGATGATAATGATGACGATGGTGATGATAATGTGGTGATGGCAACGGTGGTGGCACCGCATGAGGTCGCCGTTGCGGTCACATTACGCCTGATACGTTTGGTCGGTGGTTCTTCGAGCGTTAACATCTCGGGGACCTGGTGGGGTTGATGTGAAGAAGACATGAGTGGCGTCTGGGTTCCGGACTTGGAGCCACGACGACTCTTTGACGACAGGTGTGTGCGATAATGTTGCATCATGTTATCCTGTCGAGAGAATTTTGATGTGCAGCCGTGCATCAAACATCGAAAATTCTTTTCGCCGGTATGTATTCGGTTGTGACGTGCCAAATGACCACTAGATGAAAAGAGTGCATATACATGCAAACATTATTAATATTATTAATCCCTTACGTAAAAAATTGGAGAACCATGAGAAATCGCTGACTTAATAGAAAAATTGCTTAGGAAAGAAAAAAAGGTAGAACAACAATCAGGGAATCAATCAAAAGGAAGTTACATAAACTGTGGAGGGATGATAGGAAAACAGGCAAGCAAATAAATGCACAAGGGAACATGTTTGTTCCCAAAAAAACAAAACAAGTGACAAAGGTGTAACGATGAAGGTCATTGATCGCCCATAGAGGTTGAATAAGACAGGCGATGAAAGTGGTAGTGAAGATAGTAGTAGTATGATAGTGGTTGGAGATGAGACGATTACCTACCTTGTAGTGAAACTTTTGCCGCAATCAGGGTGCATGCAGATATACTTGCGCTTGTTCGGAGCGTTGGTGGAGTTGTTGGATGAGGAAATGTTGGAAGGTACACGCTGTTGCCTTTGCGGCTGCATGTTGACGATCAATCCATCGTCGGAATACCCACAACTAGAAACTGAAGATTTGCGTTCGGAAAACGTTCCCTGCATTGAATCATCATCCGAATTCGAAGGGGTCAAAGGCGAAAAATCGTCATCGTCGTTCAACAGACTAACCATGGCACCATCCGATTTCTTCACCAGCAGTGAAGAACTACTTCGTCGCTTCACCGAACGAAACTGGCGAGGGGGGGTCAGTGGAGGGGAGGGACCGGGAACCTTTGGTCGTTTGCATTTCACCAGAGGTTGAGTGGCAATGGACTCTTGGTGATGCAGCTGATGATGAGATAGAGGCGGTGATGGAATGAAGACCAATTGTGACGAAGAAGGTTCATGATATTGATTGACGTGAAACGATTGAGGCCGAGATGGCGAAGGCATCAGATATTCGTCCTCTTGTCGAGGGGAAAAGTGTAACCTAGAGTTTGAGGAGTGAAGGGACCCATGTTCGCAGGGTGATCGTTGAACGAGCGGTGGTGAATGTTGTTGGTGCCTCTGATGTAGTCGCGGAGAGTTTTGAAATTCGACGAATGATTGATGCGACGGCATGGGATCCGTAAAGGCGAAGGTGGGATGTCCTTGTTCAAGTTGTGTTTGATGGTGACGGTGATTCAACTGAAATTGCTGATGGTAGTATTCCGGAATATTCGCGGGAGGACAGAGGTTGCGTTGCTCCATGGAGACGAAGAACTGTTCAGCGGAAGAAAAGGTAATTGCACCGATTATTATTATTATTATTACTAATTATTTATTACTACTGTTATTGTTATTATTAATTATATATCATATCAACTATCAATTGTATCAATTAATGTTATTGTTATTAATTATTACTTGAACGTGAGAAAAAAAAACGAGATGACCGAGTTTTTGGAGGGGAAGAAAAAGAAAAGAAAAGAAAAAAGAAAAAAAAAAAAAAGCAAAGGCCAGCGAGAAGGTAACCTCTATTTATACATCAATTAAATTCAAAAACATGCAAGCAAAACGGTAAGGGTATGTTGTATATATACACACACACACATATATATATATATATATATGTATGTATATATATATTGTAACACTAAACATTAAAACATTAAAGTACAGTCACATAAAAAATCTCCGAGAAAAAAAATCATATGAACCACATACCTTGAAAAGGGGATCGTCGGGAAATTCTCGAGTTTTTTTTTTTTTTTTTGTTTTAAAAAAAAAAGTGTGGCAGAGTAAAAAAAAAAGTTATCTTTTTTAACGAGGCGGCTGGTGATTTTCGTGACCTTAGTATATAAACAAGATGGAGAATGAACCCTTTTAAATTACAAGGTCAAAAGGGAGAGGAAGTCGAAGGGAGAAATAAAAAGATTTTTTTTTCAATGCGATTATATATATATATATATATATATATATTGTATAAATTTTTTACTGGTGACTTCGGGGAGATCAATAAAGAGGTTCAAGGAGTATAACGAATCTTTTTTTTAATGTTAACGTCAGTGACCCTGAATTATCGGATGTTTAAGATAAAGGAGATAATGGTGATGTGAATGTGTGAAAGGATAATAGAGAGTGCGTATAACCCCCGGGGCAAAGCACACGTAAAGAAGAAAATAATCAACTATTGTTCCTTTATAATAAAAAAAAAAAATACCGTATAAACAAAAGGTGGTTTTAATTGTACAAACAATTATATAATATCAGATTGTATGGAGTGTTATATGTACTTATTAAAAAAAAAAAGTGTTTGTTTAAGATGATAATAGATCAGGGGGGGAATCAAGGATTTGCAAATGACAACGAAGAATACAATAATAATGTTTGGGGAAGCTCGAGACCGATAAAAGAAACTTAAAGAGTAATTATTGCTAAATGGAGAATAAAGAAAAAGGCCGTCAGGTATCGTTAATAACAAGATTTTTTTATTTATTTTTTTGTAGTGGTGGTTGTTTCTCTAGTAAAAATAAAAATAATAATAATAATGACGATAAAAAAAAGGGAAAATTTTTTTTTGTCAAGTTCAAGACACGAAAGGACGATGTACTGGTTAACCGATCGATGACGAAAATAGCGGTAAATTATTGAAAGTTATGAGATGTTAGAATGGGAAACAAAAAAAAAAAAACTTTCTCAAATCTTTCAGGTGTCAGCAGTGTGGGGGTAAACGGTCGAAACTCTTTTATTTATAAAAAATCATTTTTAGTTAATTGTTTACTGTGTTGCGTCTTATCAAAGCATAAGACTTATTATTTGCGTGCGTGAAAATCATACATAATTATACGTTTAAAGAAAGAAAGGATATGAAGGTAATATTTTTTTTTTTTTTTTTTTTTTTAGGGAATTTTTTTAAATTAAAAAAAAAATCGTATATACTGTTAAAAGTATGTGAACATGTATAAATTAGCGTTTAATATAATGATGTGTTTAGTACGAAAGTTGAATATATATTTTTTATACATACAGTATATGCGCACATATAACGATGTGACATGGTGTACTGTAAGTGTTACAGTGCGCATCGTGTGACACCTTCTAAATAGTACCATCATACAGAACGCAATACCAATAATTAATACGATGCCCGAGGATCTGATTTATAGTAACCCAATGGTGATGATAATGCATCCTTAAATAATAATAATAATAATAAAAATAACAATAACAATAATAATGTACACCGCTCAGACGTTGTATTTCTGCAAAAGTGCGCAAACCGAATAGATCCAGATTTCGGAGTGACCTTTATTTAATTTTATGACGTGAAGGATCCGAAATGAAATTAACGGAAGAACGTAAACTAACCTTGAGGTGTAACAAGGAAGGGATTGAGCTCGAACGAATTATCATCGGTTTGTTCATTTCATTTATTCACCCTTGATTCAAGTTTCACATCATGCACCACACCATAGAGAAGATATGTTGATAACAGATTTCCAAATTTTTTTTTTTTTTTTTTTTCTAATTAGTAAAAAATAGCGTCTAGCGTTCAGGAGTTATTGAGGCTCGACTCATCTCTGATCGATTTTCTCACACGAAACATAACCTCATCATTGTAAAATTCGCTACAATAGAGAAAAAAAAAAAAATGAAACCAAAAGACAAATCTTAATGGGGAATGCGGCTAGGACTCTTACCATTACGACTTCTTTTTGATTTGATTACCTTATCAGCATCTTCGTTCCCTGTTAATTCTTAAACCTTATCATGATCTCATTCCTAGATTTAGATTATTTTTTTTTTTTCTAATGATACAATCGGAAACAGCAAGATGACGTGATCATTCCTCTGACATATGGCTGTCGTTTTAGCCTAGAAGATTGTATGCTACACGAGTGCAATTTCCTGATGCGTATTCGTTTGGTGCATACAAACGAGTTTATTTAGTTTATTTGCGAATTTATACGCGATCAATCTTTGATGAAGACATTATCGACTAACTCGAACTGTAATTTTCGGATATGTGTGTATCGAGCAATCTGCACATGCGTGTGCGCATGAAAAGAGTCAAACATCGTTCGTGCGTGAGTATGGTAGGAAAAAAAAAGGGTCAGGGTCAGTGCGTTGTCAATTCATTCAGAACCTCGAGACCCTTTTTTTTAATAAATAAAAAGGAAAAAAAAAAAAAAAGGCATACAAGGCATACGCCTACTGAGTGCGTACGTACGTACGTACGTGCGCGGTAGGTCTATTATTCTCATATGATAGCCGTAATGATTGTATCATCTATCTCCAAACAAGCTCTTGCTACGTGTTGAACATGTAACTGCGGGACAAAAGTATAAAAAAAACCTATTCTTTTAATAACTGGATCCGTTACCGGATTTATCAATATACACATCATCTCATCAGATGCACGGTATATAACCTGTTCGCCTATGATTTGCGCGGAAAACCGGTCTGACACGTTCAAGGTCATGCGTTTTTTATCCCCGAAATCAAAATTTCCACGTCGGACTCCATTGTATGTATGTGTGAATGAATGTGTGGGTGTATGTATGAATCTCATAGAAAAAAGAGTGAGGTGGGGTAGGCATATATTTGAGGAGGTGAGGATGCGGCTGTGTCGTGTGAAAGACTGCTAACCGCCTGTTGCATGGGAATTTTCACGTGACATTACACCCGTCTACCTCCGTTTGCGTCCGTTTGCGTGCGTGTCTTCAAACTTTACGTTTCCGGCCACGTGCTTTATTTTTTGCCTTTACCCCAGAATTGGGTTGGGTTTGGACCTCCATAATGGTGAACCATTCGTCGGATGGATTATATGATGATGATGATGATGATACACATGAACTTCTAATTTTGTTCACTTCACTTTTCACTTACGAGATTTACATAAAGAGCTTACGCCATCTAAACTTATTTGTGTTAGTAATTAATTTGTGTAAAACTCGGTTTTAACGTAATCAATTGATTTTTGACATTTTATTTTATTTGGTTTTTTTTTTTTTTTTTGAATTCACAAACTTTTAATTAGTAAAATTGGTCCACCTTCTTTTTTCCCGATTTTCTGTGACCACAATCGAAACCAATGAAGTGCCACTCGAAAATCAGTCTCCCAGAAAGAACCCATAAAAGGTAATACAGTAATCCCGAAATGTTGGTAGACCAACGCCAAGAAAGAGGTTACCGTTGGAATCGGAATCGGATTCACGCTCCGGGTCACACGCTCTTCCGCCGGTGTGACCCGCGACACAAAAACCAGTTTACCTTGTATGCCTGGTGTAATGTAATACGTAATTTTTCCGTGTGCTGTGAATCGCCCGTTTACCATAAAAGTTCATATTTGTTTTGGAGAAAAAAGGTCGAAAAAGGTTTAGAAATGTGTCTACGGCAACATCATTGGGCAACTCTTCCATTTATCCTTGGTATCAAGCAATCGAATGATGACGATGAATCGTGTGCCCCTTCCTCTTTTCTAAAATCATCATCCAAATTGGTTTATCATCACACATTTTCAATTAAAGTTGTGATGTTTCTTGATAGATACAGTATACTGTACCATATCATCATGACAAAACTCTTACACAAATCAAAAGTGACAAATAGGATCGGTGATTATTCGGCGATGATGGCGATGAACACCTGCATCCGCACGCGTAAAAAAACACTCGTGATGCTATGAATGTTTGCATATGCTGGAGTGAAATGACTTGAGCGGTTTCACGCCAGCATCCTGGAAATCAAGAACCCTGGAGTCGATCCTTTTCTCATTGAGTCAATTGAGTTTTCCACATTCATTGTGAAACGGCCTCACGGATGTTCCTAAATTGATCAAACTATCATTATCATCATCATGATTGTTCCTTTCTCACCTTTTTTTTTTTTCCACGGACCAGAAGACAATACTTTTTATATCCTTCTTTTTTTGGTCAATCCCTTACGTGCTCATTGCATTCACCCGCTCATCAACACGAGGTTCACGATCAGATCCTTCTATTTCGTACGTCAGCCCACGAGAGATTCACATCCCGTGCTTTTGACAGTTACCTGACTATCATCCGGTTTTCACACATGTGTCCACCACCTACATGCGTTCCTTCCTTGGGTGAGCCAACGAGGAAAGAAACCCTCTGAACCGAACGACTCGACGCATTTACGAGGGTGCTCGGTGAATTGAGGTCCGAGTGCGAGCACGCACTCTGTATGCGCATACGCATACGCATCGCGCGGACATTATACGTGAGACGTGTAACTACGCAACGGGTGTGCATTAGGTGAACAAGGAAATATGCAAGAATGCACAGACCAGTGATAGGCGACGAGAAAATGAGTGAATGGATGAGAGGAACAAGAAAAAAATTGCATGATTGTTTACCGAAATCCAATCTTTTGTTTACTGCATATCACCGACCATCAGGGTACGTGCATGAGTTAGGGGGTGGGTAAGTGAATAATGAATGATTGATTGATTGAATATTATCAAAGGCGAGTTCAAGGTTACTGTAATGGGTGTAATGGGTGTGCATGATTTGTTTGAGCACGTTCGGGGAATTTGCAATTCGCAATTGGAGTTGCCTGACCTCGTGCCCGGTGTAAGTGTGTGGAACTGAGATGATGATGATGATTCACGTGTCCCTCCAAATCTTCCTCATACAACATTCACGGTATCAAACGTCTGACAATCGCTGTGACGAGGAAGTTGGTGGCTTACCAAATTAGCATGCACAATGAGTACCAAACGGTCTAGATGACCGACGGGACCCTCGCCATCGTCTTTAGCACGTGAACCAATTCGCTATCTATGTTCCCATACATTCATACATTTCATATCCAACATTTTCAATGACTGACTGTTCATGCAACTAATTCCCCAGAAATTCATCAATGCGTGATCAAATATGCAATGTAACTCGTATTTTTTAACCCTGTCTGAAAGCGCCCATTGAAATGGCGCGACCAACAACCATCTCTCATGAAAATCTTCATTTCTCGTGCATAATTGTGGGGTCCCCTGAACGAGATTGTTGTAAAGGGACGCCCACATGTGCTGGCGCTAGTCTTTTTGGAAATGATGTCCTCGGGCAATGGTTAGATTCTCCTGCAACCCATTTTCATGCTCCGACAATAATAACCTTTTTACCCTCTAAACCTTAAATAACGAATACGCGCTGGCCCTTCCCCGATTTACCCAATCGATCATGTGGTGACCATACGATCGGATCCAAGGACGAAACATTGGACCCTTTTTCTTAATTCACTATAAAGACGATTATGGTAAAAGCAGAATGGAATGTGGAACAATTGTACTGCACCTCTTTGCAAACGGTTAGATGCGCATTCAAACTTGTTCGGTGTGAAAAAAGAGAGCGCAAACATTAGGTAGCATTATTTTTTAGTATGAGAAAATTTCATGCACGTACGTAAGCACCAGTCCTCTTTTGTTAATGAAATGAATGTGAACGGCCGTTGCCCCGAAAGCCTCTCATTCCAAGTAAAATAAGCTCGATCACCTTGAAAAATTCGATAAAACCCACGATGCCTAATCCATCGCTGAGGTTAACGGTTATGTACACAGTACATACCGTAGATCGAACAATTCAAATCCCTACCCCAAACTTTTTAATCTAACGTAGAGTTATTAAATGACAATTCATTACTACATATTTTATCATTATTGTTATCATCATTGTTATTTTTTTTATTAATGATATTATTATTACCGATATTACGATATAAATGATATGTGCGATTTCAATTTGAGATTTTTTTCTTATTTTCCATTTAGGATTATTATGAAATGCAAATATCCTAAATCACCGTAATTTCCATATTAAGCATTCCCAATGAGAAAATTCTCATCGAATCGTTATAGCGATTTTTTACATATCCTCGAATCACCCAATTTTCAGAATAAGCACAATAATATCATCAACCTATTCTACATTAATTGAAGAAAATTAATGTTTCATCGGTAATTTCTTGATTATCGATCGTTTAGAATGAATGACTGT